ACCGGCACCGCTCCTACATACAAACAGCCGTAGAAAGCACTTATGAGATCTAATCCCGGAGGGAATATCAGCGCTACATGGTCTCCTGTATTTACTCGCCCCTTTTCGAGGAGGAGATTTCCAATTCGCTCTGCTTTTTTGTGTAACTCGGCGCAAGTAAGTACTTTAGAAACGGCGCCTTTTGAGTTGAGCAGTGTGAATATGACGTGGTCAGATGTACTCTGAGCGCGCCATCGCAAGATTTGAGATATGAATTGATACTGAAAAGAAAAGGAAAATGAAAGGACTCGTTTCAAGCGATATACAATATTTCTAATGATTTTATATCAGTATTGACTCGAACCTTCCTAGCGGCATCAGAGTCATCAGTGTAACCCATATCGCGACCTTGAGCTGAGGCGAGGCGGTTACCTTGCACGAGGTTTCCCACTATCACCGACGCCGGACCGACATCTGCGGATATTCCAACTAGTCACAATTTACTTCAAAGCGACTAATGAAATAAAAATTACAAATAAAAAAAATCTGAAAAATCATAGAACAAAACATGTTGTGTTAGGTTTAAAAAGCACGATATTTTTTTAAATTTTGTAACAAAATAATAAGATGTCAACTCCTTAACAGAGACTCGACCATCGCCATTCGCTTCTCCTAGAGTTTTTTTTTAAATCTATAGATGTCAGGAAGCCTATCGCCACTTGGCAGAATACTGGCGATTGCCATACAGTAACTATTAAATCTTTTAAATCCATTTATGAAGTCGATGGTATAATTTTAAATGAGAACTGTCTCGTCTGCAGGTTACCACAATTAAGAAATACCATAGCTAAATATAATTTTAAGTTTTTTTAAATCACCCCTCCCTTGTTCATAACTTTAATAAAAACTTTTGCTTAAAATGAGTGAGATAATAATGGTTTTGTAGTAATTTGACAGTAGACTCTTAGTAATGAGCGTAGGCATAACTATGTTTGTTAAAATTAAACAATCTAGTACCTGAATGAATTTCTCTGGGTTTGGGTAAATTTGTTACACATGTGTGTGGACACATTAGAACATTAGCTGGATGGAGAGTCCCTTCTAGGAAACGCCGTTTGCATTCGCTGAGGTGTATTCCTCCAAGCGGTGTCTTCGGAAGGTAATTAGGTTGTACCAACGCAAGGCAGTAGATTCCTACTTGGTGTATTGAATCAACTGCTTGGAGTACGCGCGACATCCACTGGAAGGACTAAGAGAATAACCTTTTTTATTACCTAACTCTATCAAAGATGCTTGTGGCCGTCGATGTTGGAAGCGAATCACACTTGAAGCACATCTTTGTAAATTACAGTGCGATTAGTGTTACCCGCTTTCCAGTTTGGCCTTTTCGTTTATAACGATAACTGTCTATATATTTTAATATATACACAGATATCGCACATACTCGACGATGAATTTTCTTTCTTTATAGGTTTCAGGCGTTACTCAAAACAGGTGTTTATTACTTACCTAATAAAACAGTATTTTTGTTGTATTATAATATTTTATTTGACACATTCATAATATATTAAGGATTAAACGGGAATGAGATCAAACAACTACATCCTACTGACTTTTTTTTTCATAACTGACTAAATTCTACTGAATATTTTTTTAAACATTTAATCAATATACACATATAATTTAAAATATTTGACATTTTACACAATTCATATCGAAGATCATTTGAAATATAATTTAATAACTTTGAGATCATAAAACTACTTCTATAAATGAAGACAATCAATCTTACATAAGGCTCCTACGACCTACGAGTACTGCAAGACGCCAAAGCACTGCTTTGTTTACAATAAGCTTCATTCTACTTCCTACTACTACAAACTTTTCTATAAACGTCATCTTCGACACTCTCTAGTAACTACTTTCAACAGTGTATTGAACAATATTATGTGTAAACTTAAAGCGTTCTACTACCAACATCATCTCTGTCGCTTTCGGAACAATAATCGTTTCGAACAATTTCTAATAGGGCCCTTAAGTATCGTTCCAGGGCCTGTGCTCTCTGATATCTATTCATGTTGAAATGTTGAGGTTCGTGCGGGGGGAGATCAGGGTAGTCGACGTCATAAGTCGGATCGTGTAGAATTTGTCGCATTATTCCATGAATTCCATTAGGTTCGTCATCGTCAGAATCACTATCATCGTCGTTGTAAAGACGCCAACGACATTTTTCACAATCAGGTGAGTAGGGTCCAGCATGGTCCGTACAATGTTTAGGTTTTTCTGTGTTATATCGTTCATGATCATTTTCATTGGGATGATCGGTGGATGAGTGCGCAGGCTGTTCTTCTTTATTTGTTTTGGAGCAACTTGCTACAACCGCGTTGTCGTCAAACATATCCTCATCATTAAAATCAAAGCTTTCTGTAGAACTATTTGTATTAGGGCTGGTAGTTGTATCATTAGCTTTATCTTTAGTGTTCTGTGATGCGACCACAGTATTATCGGACTTGCTCGTGCTTGCAACTGTAACACTTACAATACACTTGCAGTTAGCACAATATATATTATCGGTATTAACCGCTGCGTCTTTAGTGACACTATTACAGCCATTGGTTGGGGTGTCAGTTGTTTTTATCGTGTCGATGGCGGTGTTTGGCTTCTTATCTTCGGAGGTATTACCACCGATGTCAGTAGTGTTCATCGCCTTGACGGCGGCGTTTGTCATCTTATCTTCGGAGGTATTACCTCCGGTGTCAGTAGTGTTCATCGCCTTGATGGCGGTGTTTGTCTTCTTATCTTCAGGGGTTTTAACTTCGTTGTCAATTGTATTCATCATGTTGCTGGGAGTATTAGTCGTCTTATCGTCAGTTGTAATTGTTGCAACACAGTCGGTGTTAATTGCACGTTCGATGGTAACTATGATCTCGGTGTTAGTCTCTGCGTCAGCGGTTAAATTTGCAACTTCCGTAGTACCTAAAAAGAAAAATAGGTTAATACCTGCTGAAAATGTATCAGTGTAATTAATATATATTTACCTTTTTGATGAAGTCTTGTTTTACAACCCCAGATAATTTACATGAAAAATGCTATTTTCACGCAATTGAGCTGTACCTGTAGCTAAATAAATATTAGTAATATTTAGTGTAGCTATATTGCCTTGGAAGTCTTAAACATAAAGCAAGAAAATTCATCGTCAAATAAATAGAATATAAAATAATAATTGCAAAATAAAAGAGAAGAAAAAATAGAAAATAATTGTAGCTTAAGCAAAGGTATTTATGATCTCACCTCCTCTTCACCGCAATCAGGTCTTTGCTCGGCTATTATGCAAATACGTTCGTCGCGAAGTACCCTCACGGAAAACACAGCAATACGTCCTCTGTATATAAATTTCATGGGTTCAACGGCGAGTACGGTCGCTATGATATCGTCCATATTATGTTTGCGACCAGTCACCGTCATTAGCCCATCGCGAGAGCCGCATACAAATACTAAGCCTTAAATAGAAAAGATAAAAATAAAATTTTTCAAACATAGTTAGCGAATAATGCAAAAAAGAATATGCATTCCCGCCACTAACTTACCACCTGGACCTAAGAAACCAAGGAGTCCACTGCGGACGTAGTGTTCCTCTCCGATTGGTTCCCCGTCGGCATCCAACGGCCGAACTCGGAAGACGGTGTTAGTGAGCCCTGGCAGGCCCCAATACCCAGAGCCCGTCGCCCCACAAAGGACGCAAATCTCACCTACTTCATCGGTCTTGCACAGATATGTAGGCCCTTCTATTTTTACCACTACTATTACACCTAAGACAAAAAGAGCACTTTTTAATTTTTTTTTTCATAATAATAGTATGATTAATCTGTACATTTACTGAAGATTGTCATGATGACTTGAACGATTTCTCGAGTGCTATAGTTTTGACTTACAGGAGGGCATAACCTGCCCGCAGTCCTGTAGCGTGAGTGAGGTGAGCGAGTTCTCAGCATCTACACGGACAACGCCGTAGGAGAGACCAGACATAGACAGCACGCCGCGGCCAGCCGAGCTACCGCCGCGGCCCGCGCGCCGCACGCACACTGTCAGCGACTCGCTGCTACATGCGCATGGGCATATCGCGTCGCCACGCACACCTACACAGAAACACATATTTACTGCAGCATCAAGTAAACTTAGGGTATTCGATACGTTTAATGTAATTAGAAGCTTTTTAAACCATTTATCGGATTTTGTATTATTTTATGCAAAGTTCTATATCAAAAACAAAAAAAAGACTATGATGTTGATCGTTGTTGATGAGATGTTGTCGAGTTGTACGCATTAATCCTAGAATATTTATTAATCCAATTACCACGTTTTAATTAACTACTGAAACGCTGATGAAATGCGGGCTTTTTAATTTATTTTACATAGGCTTCTTTCCCATTTTCTTAAGCTCGGAAGTTTGAAGTTCCAAGTTTCTTTCTTATTTGCCTTCTCCACAAAATCATTTCAACAATTGTGAAATTTTAATCGTATTATTTTTTATTGACTATATTGTGTGAAAGGTGACATGATCAAGAAGGGAGTGATGACTGAGATGACGGATGATAGAGTGCTTTGGAGGACGAAAACCCGGTGCGCCAACCCTACGGGAGTAAGATAAGGCAGGGGAGATGATGATGATATTTGTTATTGACTGATGTTATTGAGAAGGTTTAGGTAGAAGTTATAGTACATAAAGTGGTATATGTATGTTAATAAAATTAACAAAAAAGAAATGAAATGACCCAACTCTCCAATTTTAATGCTTACCTTTTCCTGTATGTTGACTATACGGCAAATGAATTGGGAAATAATTGAAAATTACATCGACCTCAGCAAATTTAAAAATTTAGATAGCAAACGTGACAAGTTCTCGAGAGAGCCCAGCCCGAACTGAAGTCTAGGTTCCCGGGCGAGGATGCGCGCGGCGCAGCGCCTCCGGACGACCTTGATGCAAGCGTGCATAAACCATATAGCAATAAAATCAATAAATCTGACATTGCGTACTAAGGACCGTTAAATTATAGCGACATCAAATATTTCGACATACACTTGCTACTTCTACCTCGACCGCCATTTTTACAGATAAACTCGAATTTAAAAATGGCTCCCTGTTGGTTGATACATATTCTATTAAAAACGTGTCTTCAAAATTCGTACATTTGAATGGAAGAGTTTTATATCTGATAAGTATGTTGCTTATCAGATATAAAACTCTTTATACGAATTTTTAGAATAAATTTTCGGATTAATACTTTTACATTTTCTTTTGGGACTTTTTGGTGGTTGAATCTGATAAAGAGAGACTAATAAAACTATTCAAAACTACCTTTTATATTAATATTATAGAGGCGACAACAGATATACTTTACTGAGATAATTGAAAAATGACTTTTGTATAAAAGTGATACGTCATTCTAAGCAATTAGTTTATACGTTAATAGTTCGAGAGACTGTTTTATAGATCTCTTTATAAACCTAGCTTACTATTGTTAGTGTAAAAACATCCAAAAGCAGAAGGAAAAGACTTCATAAATATAACATACACAAACACAATAGAAAAGGGATAAATAATTGAAACAACTTATTCATTTTATTTCAATACCAAACAATAGTGTTTTATTTTACGTTTGTTACTGTTTTTAAATATTATTATGGAAGTTTTCAAAACCAACCGTAACTTTAGTTCGGGTAAGAATATCGCCCGATTTCTTTGAAAGAATGTGTTTATTTCAGTGCCTTTGGAACAAGTTCCTACTTATTATGAATTTTTGGAGAGCTAAGAAAACGGGCATGTTTTTAATAAAATATGCAGGCCAAGTTCCACTACGATGGTTTTTCTATTTAAGGCTTTTCAGTGGATGAGAATCTCGAAAGATATTGAAATAAAATGGTTCTTCAGCTCGCATTTTTTTATTCGAAAAGATAATTGATGTTTTTACATTGTAAAATAATAAGTGTTTAATGCTTTTTATAAGTCTGAAGAAAAATTAAGTTATCATTGACAGGTTTTTTTTTTTAAATACATTTTTGAAGTTGCAATTTCGACTTATTCTGAAAAAATCGAAAAATCAAGATTACTCAAAAACGACTAACTTCTGTATAATACATATAGTGGTCAATATTATCACAAATTATCCCCGCTATTAGGTCTTAACGGGAATACGTCTAATTACAATTAACCCTGTATATATTGACAAGGAACCAGGTTTGTGCTTAATTTCACTTTACCTACTGGACCAGATAAGTTTCTCTGCTTGCTGTAATTAATTGCCGTATTTTGTAATAGGGCGTGGATAGTGATGCTCAAATAACGAACTTAGTACTATTGTTTTGCCCTAAACAGAGTGCTCCTATACAGCTGTTACGATTATCTACAAAACATTTAGATATTCTTTGTATCGTACAAAAACAAAATTTCGCAACCCTTTTTCTAACATGTTAGCTCTGAAGACGCTGTCCTTTTCATATTCTTGAATCATATTCTTTTAATTTGTTTTTCTATAATTAAGTCATTTTCTTTTGTTTCAAGAATTACTTTTTTATAACATAATGTGGCAAATGAGCAAGCGGTCACATGAATCCACCGAAATGGAAAGCGACCGCTGCACATAAACACCGCAATTGCAGATGCCTTGCCTGCACATAAAAAGGACATTTCCCCTTCCTTTGCGTCTCCTCCACCTAATCCACTTTTACTTCCCTTCCATCCCTTGTAAGAACAGGGTGAAAAGGGAAAGGGAAAGGGACTAAAATGAAGCCTCCAGCACCACACACATCAGACTGTACGCGGAACTGCTTCCACTTGACGCCTGTTTTCTGTGTGGTCGTGGTATTGATGGGCCCTACACTGCGAACATGTTAAAGCGGGCTCTACCACTGTTGAAACAACGTTATTAATTAGTTACGTACCTTTGCTCTGAAACACCGACAGGAACTGATCACATGACGACAGCGACCAAGGGTTAGCGCCGTCAGCAACGAGCAGCATACGAAGTGAACTCAAGGATATTTCCTTATGATCTCTCGTCGCCAGTAATCCCCAGTGCAGATCTCGAGATTTAACGATCGCCACCGAAGCCCTGGATCATGGGATCAACAAAAACATATATAAATAATATACATTTTTAGCACAGCTTTTAGGCGACATGAAATTACGCAATGTATGGATATAGAGTTGTTAATAATGTGCGCTTCATTAAATAAAAATGTAAATTTAAACATTAGTTATTAGTACTTTGATAAGCTTGTTACATTTTTTCATTTTGAGGTAGGCGTTGCCGTTGTGGTAAAAATAGCCTTTCAATATTGATTTGGTGTAGCAGTTTTTTTATCAGAATGAGTTATTTATTTCATAAATATCTGTTTTCGCTCGTAATATACACAAATAGATTGCAATGGGCAAGAAAATAAAAGTAACCGCTTCAAATTTTAGTGGACAATGATATCATTTAGAGCGTGAAATTTGAGATTCGCCTTAGCACTTAAATAAGTAAATAATAAATCTGCTTTTGCGGATGTCCATAGGCATCTATCACCTTGGTGTTCCTGCTTGTGCCCTTTTCTTATAAAAAGAAATATATATATTCTCACCTGTACTTAGTGATCATGTGCATCCATGAGGCGGGGCTTACTTTCATCAGGGCGTAAGGAATGAATATCACATGCATGCCATTAAGAACACTCGCTAGTACGGCGTGCCAGAGTCCAGTTTCACGCTTGAAGTCCAGCACGCACACCATATGCTCGCCCTCAGTGTAGTTACAAGCCACTGAAAGCATCCGGCTGTGGGAGAGCATCGACGCTCTGCGAACAAACCATACCTATCACAATACAATTCATATTAACACAAAAAAACATGTATACAATTTTATACTCCTACCGTGGACGTAGTCAATAACACGATGCTTATTTTTATGGTGTACGGATCGTAATATTGAGCTATCCTACAATTCATTTTATATTGAACAACTAAAACCACTGCAATATACATTTTGAGACCGACTCGTAAGCTAGATGGAAAATAACTGGACGAGGATGACGGGTTCTATTGATTTTTATAAACAATGCAATAAAACGGCATCTGTAAACAATTTTCGTAAATGTTTGGCAACGAGAGCCTAGTTTGAGGCGTCTAGATTATTATTCAATTCGTTATATTCCGCTAGATGTCCCTATGCAGCTTGTTGCAACTCAGCGCAGCGCCGTGCTTGACGGTCACGAGAGATGGCGTTACGGATGCTGTCTTTGGTACTGCACTCGGCACACTTTGTAAGTTTTAGACATAATTGTAAGCCTTTTTTTTCTTTCTCTATAAAACGAGGGGCAATTAGATCACAAACGCATGTACATTATATTTTATTAACAAAAGGGTCAAATTTTTTCGATGATATTAAATAAATAATAAACGGATTGTTGTGTTTTAAATACTATGAATTGTAAATCCAGTTCCTAATTAGTAAAAGCTTATATACACCACTGAAGTTTAAAATTAAACAGTCAAGTAAAATGACAAAACTGTGCCAAAAAAGCATTGAATGTTAAGGGCACAATTCAAGTCTCGAGGGATGGAACGTTAAAACAAATGTTTCGGAGCAACGAGCAGCATGAAAATTCAGCGATGAAACAAAACATTCCTTTAACCTTAATAAGAACAATGTGAATAATACTTATTCCGTACTTTGACGTCATAATATGAATATAAATAGCCTTTTTCTTTTGTCTACATTTTATATTGTATCTTACAGTTTATTTTAATTAAGCCTCCAACTGTACTATTAAGTAGTAAAACTATATGATTTTTTTACGTTATTGAACGCTTCTTCTACAGTAATAGAAACGAAATAAGTACTAGAAAGACGGACTAGACCAAATAATCATTGACAATTAATTGTGATACGATATAAAAGTGCGAATAATTTAACTTAAAAAGATGCGAAACGAAAATTTAATTATCAATGTGTCACGTTTCAACAACGCGACTAACTACGCACTATAGTGATAATGGCAGTCGCGGTCTTACCGGTAGACATTGCTCATAGAAATAGTGTAGTCTCGTAAGTGGAAAAAAGCTTAAGAAAATATTCACCTCGTGACAATAACACCCATAGCGGAACCATCCGCGGCTGATGTATGTTCAATGTGCGCGGGGCTGTCGTCAGCAGGGCGCGGGGGTGGGATCCAGTCGCGCGGGGGGCGGGGCAATTTCTCTGTCGACACCCAGTGTAGAGACGGCCAACCGCGGAAAGATACCACATCGCCCGATGAAGTCTTCGGAAGACCTGGTCATAACATAGGTATATGAATTACACACATTGGTAGAGGTAGACCTAGAAAGAGATGGGTGGAGAAGATCAAGAAGCGAGTGACTGAGATGACGGATGACAGTGTTATTTGGAGAACGAAAACGCGCTGCGCTGACCCTACGGGAATAGGCTAAGGTATGGGAGGTGATGATGATGATGTAGGTACATTAATTGTCAATGTAAAACAATACATTTTATAGTATCGAATTATAGTTTTGCACACTATAGCTGGTAGCTGCGTGTAATTGAGAACATCCTGATCATTTCACCAGTACTCAATGTGAAGAGCATTTGTGTTCATCGTTGCGTATAAAATCATTACTACGTCGCGGTGTGATGGATATGGCTGGCTGGAGCTACCATCATGTACACATGTCCTTGTTATTTTTTTTTTTTTTAGGTTTAGTAAGATCACATTTTTTGTACAGATGTTACCACAAACTAGCGATCGCGCACTGCGTGCAAAATCTTTGTTTTTCAATACATAAAAGTCAACATTACTCCATTTGTTATCAATGGAAACTTAAACACCCTTTGGTATACCTAACTTAATTCACTAAAATATACTTTTAATTATAAACATTTCAAGTACAAAGCGTAATTCAAATAAGAGCTTTAAATATAAGAATAAACGATGAAAAAGGATTTCTTCTGTGAGCGCACGCTAAAGAGTATCGCAAGCGAACAGTGAATACGTTTCTAATAAAAAGACCGCTCGGAGGCTGCAATTAGCAAGAGGAACAAATAAGACGCAAAGCCTTTGTAACGTGTAACTGAAGTATGTTGCATGTTTTAATTAAGAAATCAATACGAGGCGGAAGCAATTTAAACGCAAGGAATTGCCGATTGGTTTTCAATTACGTTTAGTTTCCTATTACAATGTATATATGTATTTGTAAAGTGACTAGCAATGGCTTGCTCCAGTTTCCGAGAAGCCGTAACTTGATGAAGTGTTACAATTTATTTTATACGACAAACAACATTTAATAAAAATAATAATAGCTATTGCTTAATTAAGCTGAAAAGTTCGTTTAATTATACCACTAGGTATAATTTTGCTCATCCAAGGCCAAAGTCAGTTTGGTCTTAGGACAGAAATAGTTGTTGGAAATAATAAACATGATCTTCACAAAGGATTGAACAAAAGTGGTATTTCCTCAGTGAGTTAGGTGGTCAAATGTGACAAGAAGCGTACTTACCTTTTAGGCAAGCATCCGACGTGAGGGCATATTGTATTCCGCAGGAGCCGAGCAGGAAGCCGACCTGTTGCAGGCCGGCGTCGCGACGTGTAAGCGGCACTTCAATAGGTACAGGCACCACGCCGGCTTGGAG